GGGGGGGGGGGGGGGGGGGGGGGGGGGGGGGGGGGAGGGGAGGAGAGGAGAGAGAGGAGAGAGAAACAATCTTACATAATTCTATGTTTCACCAAACTTTACCCTAGTTACCTGTAATATACTTGTATTATTTTGGGTCCTAGGGTCCTATTTAAATAAATATTTGTTCCCACATACTAATCTGATTTCATAACCAACAAATGAACCATCTCCCAGTGTACTGGTATGTGAAACTAGGTTGTGGATTCTGAAATTGTTAAGAAATTAAGAAATTACTTCCAGTGCCTGGAAATTGTTTTTTGATAAATTCCCAAGAGACTGTTTTTGGAATTGGGCCTATCTGCTGTCTCAATGTATCCTTCCCTCTTTTGATATGCCTCAGCATTTCCCAAGTCTATACTTGTACACTTGGCAGGTGGGGTCAAAGCCTCTGGGGCGTTCAGACCCTGATGAACCTTGGTTCCCTCAGCAACCTCCTTGCTTGCTGCCCCCAGTTGGAGACTCCAAGCTGTGACCACCTCCCCTCTTTCCCACCATCTCTTTTCCCTCCCTGTGTGAGGAAGACTTGCCTATTCCTGTTTCTGAATTTCCTCCGAATCTTCATTTGTCTTTCAGCCCTTGCACATTGTAGCCTAATGCTTGTGTCTGCTGAACTCCACCTTCCTTCCCCGCTCTCCTCAGACTTTACGTTCCTTGGGCTTTGTATATACTAGTATCCCCCTGGATACTCTGTGAGATGAGAAGCAATGTTTGAAATCCCTCCCACATCTTGTTTAGACAAAGAAACTCCTCTCAGGACTTAGTTTCCTCATCCACAAAGTAGAGAAGATTGTTATCCTATCTCAGGACTGGCCCTTGCCCACTTTCCTGCTACCAGTAGTATAGTTCCCCAATTCTCACTTTACCCCTCTGAAGAAGGCCAGCTCCTCAGAGGACAAGGGGAATTCAGAGGTATTATATTCAGTCCCTTTATGAAGGCATGTCTAGTGCTTGTGGCTTTCAGATTATGTCTCTCCAGTCATACAAGCAATTTAGATACAATTGACAGCTGCAACTGATGCCCATAGCCTGGTGGGACTTTTTTTCTGTCCAGGATTAAGTACTCCTGGGCTGACAGCCATAGCAGAGAGCTATACTGGGAGAATAAATACTCTGTGGAGCTTGAAGATGAGCTTCTTCAGGTCATCCCACTACCATATGATTTTACTCCCAAAAAGTAATGTAACTTTTAGTTCAATGTGGGTCTCTTTCCATACATTGTAACCCACTGTGATAGTTTCAGTTATTAACTTGACACCTAGAATCTCCTGGGAAGACAGTCGCAATGAAAAATTGTCTAGATCAGTTTGTGCTGTAGGCATGTTTGTGGGGGATTTGACTTGATTACATCAATTGATGTGGGAAGACACACCCACATTGGGCAGGCAGCACCATTCCCTGGGTTCAGGCCCTGGACTGTATAAGTGGAGAAGACAAGCTCAGTGGTCAGCATGCATACTTTCCTCATGACTGTGGGTGTAACTAGCTGCTACAAGTTCCCCCACCTTGATTTCCTCTCAGTGATGGACTACGACTTGGAATTGTAAGCTGAATAAACCATTTCTTCCTTACTGTTGTTCTTGACAGGGTATCTTATCACGGCAATAGGAAAGAAAACTAGGACAGAAACTGGTACCGAGAACCTGACCATGTGGTCCTTAAACCACTTGCATTGTTTCGTGGCTGGAATGTGGAAGAAATCGGAATTTGGGGCTCAAAAAGCCATTGAATGCCATGGGCAGAGCTTAATGGGCCGTTCTAGTGGGAGTGTGTAAGATAAGAACACAGAGAAATGCATTCTGGCCCATG